GACTGAAAAATGAAGCCAAACATAAGTGCCAAAAACTGAAGTTCACTGAACGGCCACTTGAGGCTGGCTCCAAAACAAGCTCAACCCCTGTGTTAGAATGTCCAACTTTACAGCAGAAATAAGGCCCAAAGTTACGTCTATTTATGGGCGGGGCCTCTTAAGTGACAGGCTGTCTGCCGATTGTGTCCTCAACCTCTCAGTGAGATCCACCCCTCACTCCTCCACAGCTCCAGCCTCTCACCCAAATATGTTCACTTCTGGCTCCAAAAAACCAAGATGGCGACCACCAAAATGCAGAACTCAAGGTTTCAAAATGGCTGTCTACAAACCAGTGTGTGACATCACGGTAGCTACGTCATTATTTATACAGTCTACAGTCTCAAGCAGCAGACGACACAAGCTGAGCGATCTTCTGCTGCAGGGCGGCCTTCATCTCCTGGTTCTCCAGGTTGTCTGTGATGGTGGAGAAGAAGTGACGGGTGTTGTCGCTCTCCAGCGCGCTGCTGCTGTGTGGGAAAGTGGCCATGATGGCCTCATAGTGGCTGAGGATCTCCAGACTGGACAGGAACAAGGGTTCACTCTGGCCTCCTGGCATCATCACCTGGAGAAGGACATTAAACGGCTGAGACTTTCATCTAGGTTTACGAGTATTAACACATTTTGTTTTAATATATTGCCATCAAAATATCATCTACTGGCATCTTACATCTAAAATACTGGTATTTTGTCTTTCAATAACTCAGCACTCTGCTATGTGAAGAACAACACTTGACAAGTTGCACTTTTTTTGTTGTCTGTGGTTACACATATAACCCTAGCTCCATCATCTTTAGCTCAGACATCTTTACCTGGAGTTTAATACAGATGCATTAATCAAGAACTGAAAACACACAAGTACGTCACTGGTTACTAAAAGTTAATTCGCACCTTCCAGCCAATCAGAGCCTAGACTTCTCAGTGGCCGTGGTTTTAATAATTCATACCTGGATGTGCTGAACGTGGCAGAAGAGCTGGCTGAGCACAAACAGGACCTCTTGGCTGGGAACTGTCTCCACCTCGTCCTCCATTTGAGACTCTTTGGATATCAGAGGACAGCCTTCTGCTGGTTGAATGTCTTTGGACGTTTTAAGAGCTTTAACTGAAGTGCAGGCAGCAGAAGAGGAGGATGAACCATCATGGAAGGACAAACCCCTGCACTGAAGAAGTGGCCGACATTGAGAAAGACAGCACAGAGGCACTAATCATGGCAGCACAGGAACAGGCACTTAGTACAAGATCAATAGAAGCAGGGGTCGACCACAGCAGGTAGGAAGAGCGTACATGGGACGCCATAATCAAGTGGCTGGCATAGTGTACAGGAACATCTGCACTGAGATTATATATATATATATATATATATATATATATATATATACTGTACATATCAATTAATTTACCTTTATTTTACCTTTATATCTACTGCATGTTACTAGCTATTATTTGGATTGAACAGAGGTTACTTGGGGTCAACCATCGCCATTGGTTCAAAGCGCCTCTCTGCCAACCAATTATAATCCTCTTAGGGTGACCATATTTTGATTTCCAAAAAAGAGGACACTCGCCCGGCCACGACATAGCCTACTTAAATGAAACTCGCAGTTTACTCAAAGATGCCTTATCATTTTAATATATTTAAAGTTTATATGTATGGATAGAAAATTAGTTATATTACAAAATAATATCTCTCAAAGACAGAAATTCAGATAGGCCCCAATAGATAGGGGACACATAAACACACACACACTAGAGTGTGGCTACCCGATCAGAGCCCAATGGGTCCCGACAGGTCGGGCCGGGTTCGGTCAAAAATGTATAAATTGTTTTCGGGCTCGGGTCAGATTCGGTCAGCTTTCAGTGAAAATGTAGTGTAAAAATAAATAAAATCCTATTGTCTGTCCTGTTTATTGCTTGGGCACTGTTATTTACGTGACAACACCTGAACATAACACACACACACACACACACACACACACACACTGGCTGTTTGTTTCCACCTCTCTTCTCGCTGGAAGTCTCGGACCTCCAGCCGCCCGCCTCCGCCTTGATTAAACGCTGAAAATTAAATAAAAGAGGGAGACAGGTTTTTCCTATTTTACCTTATTTTGTTGCTCCCATCTCAAACATGGAGGTCTCCCTCTCAGCGGAGCACCCACGGTGCATATGGCAAGCCGTTTTAACATTTAATCACTAAGTCTGACTATCCGGAATTACCATTATAGATATCTATAACGTCATTTTGACTAGTAGTAATGTCATTGTGACTAGTATGAATTTTAATTTAAGATATCTGTAACGTCATTCTGACTAGTCAAAACTGAATTACATGGTAACTCTAAATTGTCCGTAGGTGTGAATGTGAGCGTGAATGGTTGTCTGTCTCTATGTGTCAGCCCTGTGATAGTCTGGTGACCTGTCCAGGGTGAACCCTGCCTCTCACCCGATGTCAGCTGGGATAGGCTACAGCCCCCCCGCGACCCTCAAGAGGATGAAGCGGTTAGAAGATGAATGAATGAATGAAAACTGAATTACAGATATCTGTAACATCATTTTGACTAGTCAAAACTGAATGACAGATATCTACAACGTCATTTTGACTAGTCATTATTCAGTTGCGGATATCTACAACGTCATTTTGACTAGTCATAATTCAGTT